TTATTTGCCTTTCTAATTTTTTTTTTGGTATTGGGGATCGCACTCAGGTCCTTGCACTTGTGCAGCAGGCAGTGAAACCACTGAGCTAAATCCCCAGCCCTGCCTTTCTAATTCTTTATCTAAGAAGTGTCTTTTTATTTCAGATGCCCATTTTTGCAATGGGGTTTGATTTTTTTTTGAGGGGTCTGATTTTTTTTTTTTAGTTCTTTATATATTCTAGATAATAGTCCTTTGTCTGAATAGCTGGTTAAAAAAAAATTTCCCACTCTATGGGTTGTCTCTTCACTCTCTTGGTGGTTTCTCTTGCTGTGCAAAAGCCTTTTAATGAGATAAGTTCCCAGTTGTTGATTCTTTGTAGAATTTCCTTTGCAGTCTGAGTTTTGTTCATGAAGTCTTTATCTACTCCTGTGTTCTCAAGCATTCTACTTATTCTCTCTTCCAGAAGATTTAGTGTTTATGTTTTATTTAGATCTTTGATACATTTCTATTTCAGTTTAGTGCATGGTAAAAGATATGGATCTAGTTTCAATCTTCAGCATGTGGAAAGTCAGTTTTTCCAGCACCATTTATTAAAGAGGCTATCTTTCTTCCAATGAAGGTGTTTGGCTCCTTTATCAAAGATAAGGTGGTTGAGTGTGTTTAGAGTTGTTTCTGCATCTTTTAGTCTGTACCATTGATCCTCAGGTCTGTTCTTTTGCCAGTACCATGCTGTTTTTATCACAGTAGCTTTGTAGTATAATTTCAGGTCAGGGATTGTGGTACCTTCTGCCTTGCCTTTGATGCCCAGAATTGCCTTTGTTATTCTAGGTCTCTTCTGGTTCCAAATAAATTTTAGGATTGTTTTTTCTAATTCTGTGAGATATTCTGTTGGGATTTTGATTGGGATTGCATTGAATATGTATAATAATTTTGGAAGTATGGCCATTTTCACTATTTTGGTTCTTCCTACCCAAGAACAAGGGATATCTTTCCATTTTCTGATATTCTCTTCAATCTACTTTTTCAGAGTACTGTAGTTTTCAATGTAGAGGTCTTTTACTTCCTTCGTTAGATCATTTGCTAGGTATTTCATTTTTTTAGATGCTATAGTGCAAGGGATTGTTTCTGTAATTTCTCTTTCCGTGTGTCTATTATTTGTATACAGGAAGGCTATTGACTTAGTCTTTTGGCAGAGTTTTGGGGGTCTTCTATGTAGAATAGTATCATGTCATCCACAAATAGTGATAACTTCTTCCTTTCCTATCCTTATTCCTTTTATTTTTTTTTCTCTTGTCTAATTGCTCTGGCTAATGTTTCCAGAACTACATTGAACAAGAGCGGTGACAGTGGACATCCTTGTCTTGTTCCTGATTTTAGAGTAAAAGCTTTCAGTTTTTGTCCATTTAATATGATGTTGGCTGTTGCTTTGTCATAGATGGCTTTTATCAGATTGAGATAAAGACCATCTATACCAATTTTCTGTAGGGTTTTGATCATGAATGGATGTTGGACCTTGTCAAATGCTTTTTCAGCATCTCTTGAGAGGATCATATAGTTTTTGTCCTTGGCTCTGTTAATATAGTGTATTACATTTATTGATTTGTGTGTGTTGAACCACCCCTGCATCCCTGGGATGAATCCACCTTGGTCATGGTGTATAGCCTTCTTGATCATTTGCTGCCTTCTGTTTGCCAGTATCTTATTGAGGTCTTTTGTATCAATGTTCATTAGGGAGATTGGCCTATAATTTGGATCCTTCTCTGGTTTTGGAATCAGGCTAATGTTTGCTTCCAGGAATGAATTTGGGAGTATTGCTTCCCTTTCAATTTCATTGAAGAGTTTGAAGGGTAGCAGCATTAGGTCTTCTCTAAATGTCTTGTAGAACTCAGCGGTGACTCTGTCAGGGCCAGGGCTTTTCTGGGTTGGTAGTTTTTAAATTACATATTCAATTTCATTGGCTGATATTGGTTTATTTATAATTTCTGTATTTTCTTGATTCAGCTTTGGTAATTCATATGTATCTAGGAATCTGTCCATTTCTTCTGTATTTTCCATCTTATTAGAATACAGGTTCTCAAAGTAGGTATTGGTGATCTTCTGGATCTCTGCAGGGTCTGTTGTGATTTCTGCCTTTTCATTCCTAATTGCGTGGATTTGAGTCTTTTCTTTCCTTTTTTTGATAAGGTTGGCTAAGGGTTTGTCATTTTATTTAATCTCTCAAAGAACCAACTCTTTGATTCATTGATTCTTTGTATTGTTTTCTTAGTCTCCATTGCATTAATTTCTGCTCTGATTGTTATAATTTCCTCCTTTGTACGAGCTTTGGACTTAACTTGCTCTTCTTTTTCAAGAAGCTTGAGGTTCAACATTAGGTTGTTTATTTGAGCCTGCTCTGTTTTCCTGATATGAGAATTCACTGCAATAAATTTCTCTTATAGGACTGCTTTCATTGTATCCCATAAGTTCCAGTATGTTGTATTGTCCTTATCATTTAATTGTAGAAATTGTCTGATGTCTTCTTTAATTTCATCTGTGACTCATTGGTTGTTCAGAAGGGTGTTATTTAATTTCCATGTGTTTATGAAGTTCTTATGGTTTCTTTTGCCATTGATTTCCAATTGCATTGCACTGTGGTCTGATAATATGCATGGGATAATTTCAATTCCTTTGTATTTACTTAAGCATGTTCTATGAGTGAGTATATGGTCTATTTTGGAGAAAGTTCCATGTGCAGCTGAGAAGAATGTGTATTCTGATGTTGTGGGGTGGAAGATTCTGTAGACATCTATCTATTAAGTCCATTTGTTCATAAGTTTGGTTCAATTCTAATATAAAATTTTTTAAATTTTGAGTCAAGATCTCACTAAGCTGCCTAGTGTTATGGATTAAATGTCCCCCGAAGCCTCATGAGCTCAGACTTGGGAAGGTAACTGGATTATGAGAGTGGAGTGTTATAGCTGATTTGCTATTAGGAGGTGGGGTCTGGTACAAAGAGGCTGTCACTGTGGGTGTGACCTAGAAGGTTATCTCTCCATTTTGGATCTCTCTCTCTCCCTCTCTCTCTCTCTCTGTCTCCTCTCTCTCTCTCGCTCCCGCTCTCTGCTTCCCCATCACCATTCCGTGAGCAGCTCTCCTCCACTATACCCCTGTGCCATGCTATCCTCTGTTGGAGCCAACCAATGAAACAAGAGCCAAAATAAACCTCTCTTCCTTTTAATTTGTGGTTATCTGGTATTGTCTCAGCAACAAGAAAGTGACTAAGACACCCAGGCTGACCTCGAACTTGTGGTTCTCCTGCCTTAACCTCCTGAATAGCTGAGATTACAGATATGTGCTCATGTACCCAGCTCCATTCCTGGACTTTTAACTTAAGGGAACTATAGCATAATAAATTTGTGTTGCTTTAAATCCCTAGATTTGTAGTACAGCAGTGCCCTTCTCTCTGATGTTTCACTTTCTGCAGTTTTAGTTATCTGCAGTTAATATGGTCTGAAAACGTTCTTGGAAGGAATTTTTCAGAAAGAATTGGTATTTTTTTACAAGATAATTGATAACTTTTTACAAGGTATTGTCTAATTATTTTTTTAGATAGGATCTTGCTAAATTGCTCACTTGCTAAGTTTCCACTCTGCCTAACTTGTTCTATTTTATTATTGTTACTGTTGTTGCTTTCTTATTGTGTCTAATTTTTTTTTGAGACAGGATCTTGCTCTGTAGTTCAGGCTGTCCTTGAGCTCACTATGTAGCCCAGGCTGGCCTCAAACTCTTGGCAAGCCTCCTGCCTCAGTCTCCTGCATGCTGAGATTGCAGATGTGTGCTACCACACCTGGCTTATTGTGTCTAATTTATAAGTTGAACTATCATAAATATGTATGAACAGGAAAAAACATGTATGTAGTATTCAGTAGAATCTGTGATTTTAGGCATCTGAGAGACATCTTGGGACATATCTTCTGAGGGTAAGAGGTGTGTTCACTTTCCCTCATGATAACAAAAGACAAAGAGTTTATTTTGGCTCACGGTTTTTAACATATCAGTCCGTGGTTGACTGGTCCTGTAACTTTGGGCCCGTGGTGAGGCAGCACATCATGGAGGGATTGCATGGCAGAGCAAAACCATTCTTCTGATGGCCAGGAAGCGAAGGAGAAGGGAGAGGCTAGAGCCCTACTCTCCCCTCAGCTGCACATCCCGGGATAGGAAGACTTCCCATTAGGCCTCACCTCTTAAAGATTCTACCACCTCCCAACATGCCAAGACTTTATTTAGCACATGGGCCTTTCCGAGACATTCTAGATCCAAGCTACAGCAAGAGAAAACTGCTGTTATTTGTCAGCCAGCATTAGCTGGTGTCGGGGAACAAATGTGCTTATTACCTCTAGTCTGATGTACTTGTACCCAGCCTGAAACTTAAGGAGTTAAAAATAAATTGAGTAATACTCTACTAACTTAAGTAACTAGATAAGGGAGTAACACTGACATCCAGTACCTTGCATTCCATCGGTACCATCTTACCCAGACACTTTATTTTTCTTCATCATTGCAAAATGAACGGGCAGCTGCCTTTAAAACACTAACCTTTCCAGAAATTTTTTTGCCAGTCTTTCCTTTAGGGATTTGCCTGATATACCCCATGAGCATTTTCTGCCCCTCTCTCAGCAACAGGGCAGCTCTCAGGGTGGAACTTTCTCTGGGTTAGTCTCTGCTGCACGTGTGCTACTGGCAAATTCCCTTAACCTCCCTCCCTGTTGTATTCCTCCCCTTATCCCTTGTAGTTATGTTGGAGCAAAATCTTTTCTTGGGAAGAGAGTTTCAGACTCTTAACTAAAGCCTGGTGCTTTTGGGTGAGAGAGCAACCATCTCAGCCATTTTAAATAAAACTGGCCTATCCATGTTAAGTATTCACCTTTTCATTTCTGTAAAGCACCAGCTAAAATAAAATTTATGATTGCCCTAGCAAAAAGGACATTACATCACAAACTACAATGAAATATGAAATTGAAGACTTTTTCCATTCTCTTTAGAGTATGAAGCTGAGCTGCCTCACTTTCCAGAAGGATATATAATCAAACAAGAAGCTCCAGTTACTGTGAGTATTACCCAGGCCTCAACCTACTAAAAAGCTCTTACATGAGAAGACTGTGGATGGCTGGGGAAGGCTGGGTGGTGTCAGGAGTTAGGGAGGCGAGAGGGGGAAGGCACTGGAGCTGGAACTAGAAACCAGGGGCCACCTAACTTTACTATTAACAGTATTGCATAGCCTCTTTGAACCTTAATTTCTGCATTTGTTAAATGGGAAAGGTAATCCTTGACTGTCTCCATGGGGCGCAAATGAGATCTTGGATGAGAGAGCCCTTGGTTGGATCTAACAGCATATCTATGTGGGAGACATTTATGACCAGAACACACTTCTCTGCATGCTGAGGCAGGGCAGGTGAAGACTGCACTGAGAGAGGGTCAAGGACAGGGCAACCAGAAAGGGAATCCCTTGGAAATATACCTTGGGAAGAATAGGCACTTAATAGAGTTTAAAATCTCAAAAACATAGCCAGGCATGGTGGCATATGTCTGTAATCCTAGCACTTTAGGAGGCTGAGGCAGGACAATCACAAGTTCAGCCCAGTCTGGGCAATTTAGCTCTATCGCAAAAAATAAAAAATGAGCTGGGGATGTATTCAGTATAAAGGACTTGTGTTCAATCCACAGTACTGAAAAACAAAACAAAACAAATGCTGGAAGAACTTGAGCAGAATCACATCGAAGGACCCCAAATCTATGTCTCTAGACTTCCACTAACTTCTATCTGTACTCTGCCACTAACTTCAGTCTCTGCCTCTGACAGAGATGCGGGCTTTTTTTCTAAGAGTAGAAAAATTTATTGGAGAATAGGAATAGTGACAGGAGGGGTCCCAAATGGGTAGCCCCACCCCCCCTTTAAGAGTAGGAATGACAGAGATTCTTGTCTCTAAAGCTCTTTTTTGGTTTGTGATGGTTCCTTTTTCATAGTATCCTGTTTTGTTTTATTTTTTAATGGTAACAAAGTTTTATTAAAGATAGGAAAAGAAACAGACTCTGCAAATTTGGGCCAAGTAAAAGTAGGAAAAGGAGTACACCCTGCAGCGTGAGGGTGGACCACCATATAAGAGAGGACAGAGTGGCCAGTATCCTGTTCTTGCTGAATGGATACAAATCTATCTGAAATTTTTCTGTAGATACTAATTACATGTTTCTTCTCTGAATTATTTGTCCTTATTCCAAGGTCAGTTGCCCTGTTTATGTATCTTAATCTTTGTCTTTTATGCTATTGGTTTTCTTGACTTGTGCACACAGTTTTGATTATTTATTTAAAATTTAAAATGGGGACTTGGGTGGGTTTTTTCTGTATGGCTGGTATCTGAGGTTTCTCCAGAGAGACAGAACCGGTAGGAGATAAATACAGAGATAGATACATAGATAGATAGATAGATAGATAGATAGATAGATAGATAGATAGATAGACAGACAGACAGATAGATGAATGGAGGACAGGGGGCCTATTCGGGGGATTGGCTCACACATGGTTATGAAGGCTAAGTCCCATGATAGGGCCATCTGCAAGCTAAAGAACCAGGATAACCAGTAGGATAGCTTAATCCATGTCCAGAGTCCTCAGAAACAAGGATGCTGATGGCATAACTCTCAGACCAAGACCAAAGACCTAAGATGTGGCCTTGCACTTGAACTGATGCAAGTCTCAAGAGTCCAAAAGCTGTAGAACATGGAATTCCCAGGGCAGATGAAAAAGGGCATCGTCTGCAAAAGAGAATTTGCTTTCCATCCGCTTCTTGGTTCCATTTAGGCCCCCAGCCAACTGGGTGATGCCTGTCCACATTGAGGGCAAATCTTTTCCCTTTCAGTCTACCTACTCACCGGCTGATCTCCAAAATCACCCTCACAGATACACCTAGAAATGCCGACTCTTTATTTTGTTTTGGTTTTTTTGTTGTTGTTGTTGTTGTTTTGAGACAAGGTCTTGTTACGTAGTCCAGGCTAGCCTTAAATTCACTTTGTAGTCCAGGCTGGCCTGAAGCTCACAATTATCCTCCTGCTTCAGCCTTCCTAACTCTGGGATTATAGTTGTGTGCCAGCACACCCTGCTAGAAATGCTGCTTTACCAGTTATCTCTGCATGCATTAATCCAGTCCAGTTAACCTTCAAAATTAACCAACACAGCTGGTGTGCTTTTCTTCTGCTACTGTACATGTGGGTTTTTTTGGATGGGTCTCTTTTAAGAACAGAAAAACCCTGAGCAGGTGCTCATGGGGAGTGATGGTCTGTTGGAAGATTTTCTTCAGGATGAGCAGACAGAGTCAGTATTTGGGGGCTTAGTTGCTCTTCTTGTTGCTGAGACAAAATACCTGACACCCAAAGTTAAAAGGAGGAAAAGTTTATTTAGCTCATAGTTTGTAGAGGTTTCAGTCCCTAATTGGCTGGCTCCAAGGCAGGGTGGCATGGCAGAGGGGCATCACAGAGGAGAAACAGTTCATGGCAGGCAGAAGACAACAAAAGCAGCAAGCAACAAGCTAGTGACAACTAACAAGCCTTTTTCTGTCCCTTACATTGTATCCAGGCTACCTGCCTTGAGAGTGGGTAGCACTCATGCCCTTAATCCTAGCACTGCACCATGAATCAATCCCAGCATTGCACACTCTAGATCCAGCCACCCCTGAAAAGCCCCACCTGTAACTGCATGAGGCTTTGGGTGGGGGGATTTAGACATAAACCATAACAGGGGCTGAGCAGGAGGCCTCTAAGTCAGTGATCAGTGTTTTGGGTTTTTCTGTCGGGGCTGCCAGCATGGTACCCTACACAGTTCCACTTCCTCCCAGGCTGCCTGTTTCATTTGTTGACAGAAGCATGATTGGAGAGGAGTGGAGCTGGATATAAAAGGCTGGTGTGAAGGTAGCATCATGAGTACTGAGGGGCAGAGGGAATTTGGGCTGCAGGCCAGTGGAGCCCAGCCAGATCTTCACATAACCCTGCTGTGTGTCATTCCCTTTCTCTCTCTTGCCCTCTGTTATACCTGGCAACTCTAAGCACTGAGTTCTGGCGGGAAAATGCACTTGTGTCCTCCCAGGCCATTTCCGCCTGTGGCTACCACTTCCCCTCCTGATTATCAACACAGGCTTCATCCCTGCTTCTTTTGGGTTTGTTGGCCAATCTCTCATCTGCAGATGCCCCTCCTGTTTTTTCTACTAGGGGTTTATTCCTTGACTGTGATTTATAGATGTCTCTGGAGGGAAGGGAGACAAGGATATGTGTTCCGTGTGCCTCTTGGACCTAAAATCTGACATGAAATTTTATTCCCTTGTAAGGTTATACAAGAAAGTAATTATTTAAACTGTTTATATGGATTGACTCCCCTCCCTGTCCACTGCCAGATTTCACTATTGGAGGAACTGGTTTCCCATGACTTCGACACAGAGTACTATTTGCCAGATTCCCATTCCACCACCATCTCAAACACACCCTGTCCTCAAACTAAATCGGAAACAGTCAACCCAAAAACATGTAAGTAAGGAAGTGGGGCTTCATCTTTTATAATTTTGGGTTTATAACTTTGCAAAACCACAGAGTGGGGGTGGGCTCAGGCTTCAGGGAGACCACAGAAATTAGACAGTGTTCTTCTTTTAATTTTCCTAGCCTTTTAATTACTTAATTTATCTTACTGCATTCACTAGACTTTCAATACAATGTTTTTTTGGTTTTTTTCAGAAAAGTATCCTCAATTCCACTGATTGCTCTTTAAGGTTAAAATGCAATAGAGAGAGTAAGGATAAGCATACTCAGATTCTACATTAAATACAAAGGAGGGCAGGAAAGGTGTAAACAAATGAAAAAGTAGAAGAAAATACTATGTTCTCCTCCGCTGATGCAGATCCTACCCCCAGAGCCTTGGTTCCACTGGCCTTTCTAGTGCATGGTTGTCCTCCTGGTTTGTTCTGTCCCTTCTACTGGTGTGCTTTGGGCCTTGGCAACCACTACCACCATCCCTGTGGTCCTAAGGTGCTGTCCTTGATACTCCTGCCCCAGTTCCTCTCTAGCCTCAATTACTACCACACTCTGCTGTGTAAGTCCCTGTGTCCCTCTAGCTCCTTACTGTTACTGCCTCAGGGCTGTAACAAGCTGGTGGGCCTGGCCTTGTGGCAGACCTGGCCTAGCCTCACCAGAGCACAGAGGGTCATTTTACGTTTCTTTATTAATGTAGCCCAGCTCAGGGATCTGGAACAAAATGTCACATTTAAGGTCATGTTATTGAATGGACAGTATGTTTTTTGATTCAGCAACAAATGTCTCTCCCAGATGAACCTGGGCAGCTTGAGATCTGCAGTGGGAATTTGTTTTAGGTTCACCTAGAGAATATTTGGAAACATTCATCTTCCCAGTTCTGCTTCCTGGAATGGCCGGCCTGCTTCACCAAGCAAAACAAGAAAAGTGTTTTGAGGTTCGTTGTTTGGTGTGGTCTTTTACTTTAAAATTCTCAGTATTTCATTTTAATCAGATGGTTGCTCATTATCTCAGTACTATCAAGTGGTGGCTCTCAAAATGACCCCTTTGGGAGGGAAAACGGGTGTTTCGGCACTTATCCAAGTCCAAAGGTGACATCTGGCTGTGCACATACACGTACCACTATCTGTCTGTCTGGCCTCGGGCTCTGGAGAGCTCTTCTGTCCTTTGTGGTGTCCCTGCCTGCTCTTCTCCCGTGTAATTTGGCATCTTTCGGGTTTTTGGGCCTTGTATTCCTATTTATTGCACACAGTGATCCAGGCTCACCTTACTTCTTTTTTTTGGTGGGGGGCTACCGGGGATCGAACTCAGGACCTTGCACTTGTGAGGCAGGCGCCAGAACCACTGAGCTGAATCCCCTGCCACTTCACCTTACTTCTTACTTGGCTCTGTGTTGGTCTTCCCCTCTGGCCTCTGCCTGCTGCCCTTCATACCTGGTGTCCTGTATGTCACCAGCCTTGGGAGAGGCATGGCACGTACTGAGTGCTCAGTGGTGACTGGTCATTATCACACTGCAGCCAGTTATCTGTCCCAGCTGCCTTCTGAGCCTGCTGCACCTCCATGCAGACACACTTACATGCTGTCTCTCTTCTGTAGGTCACGGGATACTTTGGGTATATGTGTTCCCTGCAGTTTTGCTTTCTAGAATTTTGGATTATTACACACACACACACACACACACACAAATAACATTTTCAATTGACCTAGCAGTTGTCCTGTGCCAGGAATCTGTTTACATCCTTTATTGCAATTCACACTCAGAAGAGGCCTGTGAGGTTCCTTCTATTATCATTATCTGGATTTTGCAGATGAGAAAACAGAGGGAAACAGAGGTTTGAAATGTGATCAAGGAGAAATGTCAGGGCTAAGATTCAAATCCAAATTAAATGATTTAAAAATGACAGTTAAAAAGTTGGCATCAGGGCTGGGGATGTAGTTCAGTGGCAGAGAGCTTGCCTAGCAGGCACAAGGCCCTAGGTTCCATCCCCAGAACTGAAAAAAGAAAACAAATTCACAGTAATTATGGTGAAAGTGCAATTGATGTCAACATCCTGGTGATTCCAGATAACGGAATCACCCACCTAGTTGCCCTTCAGCCCAGGAAATGTGTCCTACCCTGTGTCCTGGTGGTACTTTCATATACTGAGGAGACAGTATTCTCGTGTTCAAGTAAATACTCAGTTTTTCTTTAGCAATACCCTGATGTACTGCCCCCTAACTGCCTCATCACCCCATATTATAATTCCCCCTAATTACTGCCACCTGAGGCACTCAGCATAACATTCCTTCTGACAGGCCTCACTGTATGTAAGTTGTGTCTTTATTGAGGCAGAGATTAATATTAGGCACTGGTCAGAGTTTGGATAGCTCAGGATGTTAGCCTTCTGTCACTACAACAAAATACCTGAGATAATAAACTTATAAAGAGAAAAGGTTTATTGGGCTCACGCTTTTGGAGATTCCAGTCCAAGACTAATTGGCCTACTGCTTTGGGCTTGTGGCATGGAAGCACATCATGGCAGGAGCTCAGGGCAGAACAAAACCACTCATCTCACAAAGCAGGGAGCAGCAAGAGAAAGGAATGGGCTTAGGTAACCCCAGTGAACTAAGGACCTCCCATCACACCTCTCAGTAGCACAGCCCTGGAGATCAAGCCTTCAGCTCACGGGCCTTCCGGGGACATTCAACATCCAAACTACAGCAGACATTTATGTAGGAAGAATTGGGAGTGCCCCTTTGGGGCACAACACACCATTTGACAATGTTGGAGCCACCTGATGAGGCAAAGAGTCTTCAGCTTGGCTCTCAAGGCCCTCTTCAGTCTTTCCCTCCCTCCTTCCCTTCCTTCTTTTCTTCATCCACAGCTCTCCTGTCCGGGCAGTACCCTCCAGCCGGAAAGAACTACTTTAAGTTCCTTATGCCAGCTTCATGGTCTCTGTGCATATGTTTCTTCCTTTTTTAGAAAAAAAAGTCCTTGAGCTCCTCTTCTCTGCATATTTAAATTCTGCCTGCTTTTCCAAACTCAGCTGCATGACAACTCTCTCAGGCTTCCAGTTCCATGTTAGGCCCAAATTAGAAGTAATTGATCCCAGTTCTCAGATTTCAGAGTATTCATCTGTTCTGCATTTTATGGTATGTTAAGACAGCCTTAATTAAGATATTCTTAACCACATATACTTAATTTTATACATGCTATCTCTCCCAGTGTTTTAAGTGCCTCGAGGACATATTCTCTGTCTGATTTATTTTTGTACCTCTTCTCAGTGCTTAGTATACTCTACCCAGTGCCTTCCACATGGTGAGTATACATTTGGCCCTCAATAAATGTTGGATAAATGAGTATATAGTCGGACATCAGCAAAGCGCCATTGTTCCTATGCCCTGGACCCAATCCTAGCTGGTCTTTCTGGAAGGCTATTCTAGTGGTCCCATCCTTGGAGGGACAGCCTGGAGGGGTGAAGGAGGAGGATGACATCTATCTACTTTACAAGTTTAATAAATGGAAGAGAGAAGTGGATGGCAAAATGTCACAGCCCAGTCCTCTTCATATATTAATTATACAACCAATTAGTAACTGGGGCCTTGGTTTATAGCATAGTGGTTAAAAGGAAGACCCTAGAGTCAAAGTTGGCTAATTTTGAAGGTCGCCTCCATCCCAGCTGGCTCCCCAGCCCAGGGCAAATTATTTCAGCTCCTAAACCACTGTCATTTACAAATATGTAAAATAAAGATGAAGATAGTGCCTGCTCATGGGATTATTAAGCACATCCAAAGTGCTGCAGGCAGACCCTGACACATAAAGAGATCTCTCCAAATGTTAACATGTTGTTTACCATTACAGTTCCTGTACCAGGAAACTGTAAAGCAGGGTGGGTTGCTCACCCTTGTTCTTTGACAACCGGAAGTCCTGATTCAGCCCTTGGTCCCAGCTACCACCCCCAAGCAGTACTTCATTAATCCTCTATAGAAGCATTTTTAGCCTCCGCAGCCAACCATTCCCTATGTGGCCTCTTTAGATCCCTTCTGGTCTTGAACAATTTCATTCCAGCTTGTCCACTCAGCAAAGCCAAAGCCCAGCATTCAGCCTGCTGCTCCTTGTTTAAAATGTAGTTAAGTCTCGTGCAGGGGTGTACGCCTATGATCCCACCTGCTAAGGAGGCGGAGGCATTTTAAGGACTTAATGAGACCCTGTGTCAAAATTTTTTAAAAAGTCAGGAGATTTTGCTCAGTGGTAGAGTACCCTTGGGTTTGAAACCAGTACTGCCACAAAAACCAAAATCAAAAACAGAGTTCAGCCATCATCTATGACTCTTGGGAGTGGGGGTGGGGACAGGGACCTTCACATCTCTAGACCAACAACGGGGCGGATGGGAGGGCTGTAAGGCATTCGTCGTATCGCTCTGCAAGAAATGTGTAATTCTGACATTCAGGCCTGGAAACTTCAAATCTAGGGAAACTCAGTCCCTCCTCTTTTTCCTGATTTGTTATTTTAAACCTGGCTTCCCCCTTTTAGCTCAGAAAGCACAATGATCAGATCCCAGTTTTTCATTAACATGAACAGGCATCCTGCTGAATCAGACTATTCAGTGAACAGAAAGCTGGTAAAATAAATGGCAGTGATTCCTGTCCTGACCATCACATCCAGGTAATGGCTCTTCTCTCATTTGTGCTGTGCTATCATGATAGTCATCAGAAATATCAAACTTAGAGAAGCTACCTCATTGATGCATTGCCTGTGTGCACTGGCACTGGTCAAAACACCTTCCATGCACCTTCTCATTTTACCCTTAGAATAACTTTCTAAACAGAATCCTCTTTTTTCATCCATCCCTTTCTACTGAGGAGGGACCTAGAGCATGGAAGCTGATTATGACCTTCCATCGCCCAGCTGGAGAGTGACGGAGGACATTGTCCAATGATCCTAGAGCCTGGCTTTCTTCCTTCCCAATAAATGGGAGGTCCTCTAAATAGCTCCTAGAAGTCCTGATTTTTCTTTTACATTTCTAGAGAACAGATTGCTACTTCCTTTTAATCATAGAATCTAAACAGTTTCTAGTTCTTGTTGATTATTCATTTTCTCACTTAGCTCCCTCTGACCACTTAATTCATGTCCACTCTTTATGACAACCCTCCCCTCCCCTGAGTGGTGATGAACAGATGTGAGGTGGGAGAGAAGATGGAGGGTCAGAGAGCAGAACCCTTAGCTTGGCTCTGCCACTATCACATGGCTGTGTCTCTCTGGCTTCAGTCTCTGCTGCTAAATGAGGGGGACCAGACCATCGTACAAGTCACACTCAGAAATTGTATCACTTTTTTTTATCTTGATATTGACCAAAGTATATTGAACAAAGGATGGGCTGTAATGATTAAGCAGTGGAGTGAGCACAACGGCATCATCTCTGTTCGCAAAGATGTAAAGAATATCCAAAAGCAGGTTGGGCTACTGAAGTTCTGTCCAATAAGCATTCATTAAGCCCTACTGTGTGCCGATCATGGGAGCCAGGCCCTGAGGACACAGAGAGGATGAGACACAGCCCTCTCCTCCAGAAAACCACAGAATAATAGTAGAGCCTTCTGTGGCAGGTGAAGGATAATGATAAACTAAAGTCATACTTATTTTTCTCCTCTCCGTTTGTCCCTTTTCACTCCTCTGAAACAAGAATGAATGAGCAGAAATGGCAAGAGTCAATCTGACACTGGGAATTTGTTTCTAGACCTTGGAGCAGCTATATTCTATTGTGCAGCCTTTCTTCTAATTCATTTAGCTATTACTTTTCTAATTTATATCTCTTTATAGGGCACAAAATCAGCTAAAAAGGCAGTAATTAAGATTTTGCATTGAAGGTTGCATGTCTAATGTTTGCCTATAAATAATTTTGTAACGAGAGGACTAGACACAGTTTCCAGTCCCCAGGCAGTGATTGTATGCTTTTAAAG